CATGGAAATTCCAAGAAATTTCTACCTACGCACGGCAGGTTGATCAACGACAGTAACCGGAGTCTTGGCAATAGACCATTTCGAAAGCAAATTCGCACAAAAATATGCCATTGTTTTGTACAAGGGCGAAATTCTGTGTCTGAAAGGTGAGAAGAAAGAATATTTCAAAACTGAGTTCTTGGTATAAAATCTGGATTTAACGGCGATATAACAGGGGACTGAAGAGTGGTAGTTATTCAGGTATTTTATGACACTGTGTCTATTGCTGATGTTAGGGCAACACTGAAGATTTTAAATTAGGCTTGCTATTCTGGAAGAAGGGTACTGAATGAGAGAAGGAAAAATCTCAGGACAGCCAGTTTCCGGCTAGGATTTGAGTAAATGTATAATACATTGCATTTACTCTTTTTTAGGCTTCCATACGGAGCGTTCTCAGTGTAAAATGGGAGCCCTGTATTTCTCTGATTCTGCTGGTAATTAACTTTAAATTCGATATATATTTTTGTAATAAGGTCATTCGGCACAACTCGATATCAACACGAGACTGACTTAGGCTTATTATTTTATTCCAATGGTAAAACATGACATTCATTTCGTGCAGTTATTTACTGTATGAAGTATACATGCAACATGTTGCGAAATGATGCCTATTCTGTTCTTTTGCTTCACGGAAAAACCGGGAGGGGACCACAGCGTTCCTCTAGGGGAAAAGACGCTTTTACCCAGATAATTAAATCCAATTTACGTACATGTTTAAAGTTCAATATTAATCCTTCAGCTAATCGTTTTAATAGCGAATAATGCAGCAGAGTCCATATTACGTCAAATTTAGAAGTGGAACATTTTGTAATAAGAGAACCGTTTTCTTTGTCCAAACAGCCTCTATGACATGGAAAACCCTATAATGAGTCAGGGGGTGCCCTACAGAATTTGAGGCATTATTAAAACGAGTAAGAGGAAAGGCTATTCCAATTTGGAGTACAAATTTTCATATTGCCTACACATCATCGGGCTTGGAGTTAATTTATTATTCATATAAATCTGTAGTTCGCAAGCTTCGTCAACAATACATATTGTACTTCTTACTCCACAGAACCACAGTTCTCTCGTTAACACAGCTAAATGGATATTCACTTCATGGAAGTAAATTACATTTCGTTCAACATGCATTATATCGATATACGAGTATGTATGTTACAAATTACACGTATAGGTGTCTTTAACTTATGACACTGGGTACTGTGTTGTATATGAAGTCACTTTTATGAATTTGATGCAGTGCAGTACAGTTTCACGTAAAGCCCTCTTCATGCCAAATTTAATCGAAATATGTTCAGTGGTTTCGAGATAAAACGTAAGATGGACCAAGATTACCTTCCCATTGTGCGTTTATCTTATGCACTTCGTGCGAAGAACCCACTAAAAGGTGTATACACGTAAATTAAAATCATGGATTACGACATCATACGTAGCTTTAAACTGCGAGTTTATCGGTAAATATGTACTATGACCCTGCTCGTAAAGATTATGACTCTATAGATTTATTTCGAGCTGCGACGGAAGACGATTCCAAGACGTCATCAGGTGACTCTGCAGTCCCGTAACAATCAGCTGACCGTCAGCTGTTCTAATGGATACGTCCTTCGGTTCAGCCCGTTATTTTAGTCGTTAATTTTCGCTCAGCGCGTGTGCAGCGACGTTGCCATATTTTGTTGTAATGTCACCAACAGCTATTGCCAACATCTTACACGTACCTAAGCTTACTCCTTTCAGTAGAGCAGCATCTTTCACATACTTTACTTTTGTGTAATTACACTTCTTGTGAACTCTAAAACCTGAAAAATACACACCACGAACTAGAAACGTAATGACGTTTCTAGCTGTTTCTATGGACCCTCGCACAGCTTATGAATGTGGGCCTCCCTATACGATTATATCTCGAACTCTCATACCAACACACACTCACCAAACCTATCAAACGTAAACCCTAAAGGCACCGAAAGCAAGTTGCTTTGTAGCTGTGGTTACAAATTTTTTTATTTTTGTTTGTTTACTTTTCGGGTTCCCCCCCCCCCATTGGCACTGCAGCCCCAGTGGGCCTAGGCCTACCTCCATGAACTCCGTTCACTTCGGTTTTTCTAGATCTTACACATACGGTAGGACTCCTTGGGCGAGTGATCAGCTCGTCGCAAGGCCTCTACCTGTAGACAAACACAGAAAAACGCACACAAACATCCATGCCCTGAGTGGGATTCGAACCCACGATCCCGGCTTCCGAGCGAGCGAAGACAGTGCATGCCTTACTTTTCGGTTAGGCTCTGTCTTTATGACTGAGATTAGGATATGTTTACGAATGTGTTATATTTGCAGTGAAATTTGGGTTGCCTGAAGGCAGAATGGGCTCCCAGAGGCTCTGGCCTAGGAGTCACCCGAGCCTCTCCGTGCCATGGCGATAGTATTTACTCTTCTGTCATAAACTTTCCTTCAGTTTCGTGAATAGATCATTCCTTTGTATTTTTATGTTCAGTGTATTCTACGTCAGTTCCTTGTACCTAAACTCTGATATCAAACGTAGCTGTTATGGTTAGTGCTACTATGGTTTTCGAAACGTCCCAGATTCCGATCTCATTCCGAGGGCAGGCTATCCTGAAGGTTTAGTAGTTTTCCTCAGTACCTCTAGAAAATGCTACGGTAGTATCTTAAAATAGGCAGTGGCCGCTTGGTTCCACACCCATCACATGGTCCACATCGTGATACATAAGACTGTGTAACCCATGGCCTGTGTGTAGCCGGAAGATTGTTTAAATAATAAGAGAATCAGTCAACTGTTTTAGGATCACTTCCCCCAGTATTAACAAATGGATTTCCAATGCAGATTTCAGTGCAGTATTCAAACAGCATATCGCTCACCCATCTCATATGAATATACAGACTTGGTGGCATAATGCCAGGAATGTGAAAGGCCTCGTCTTCCGTGCTTTAAAATACTCACCCACTCTTTCTTCACTTGGCTTTGTTTGGAGTTGCAAAGAAAAAGTATATTAAAATATCAGAAGGTAAACGAGAGATTGTCAACGTTAGGAAGTAAAGATTCCGGCAAAGAGAAAAATAATGCCACGTCGTCAGTCTCGAAGGACGATTCGTATATTAATCGAGCATGTTCGCCTGGAATGCTTTGTACTGTCACTAAACACCTGCATCACTTTGGAGAACAAAGTCATTCGCATCTAGACTAATCTACCGACTGCTTTCTTAGTGGTTCTCATCAGCTCTTGGGTGTAATATTTTCATATTAGACGAAATAGTAGGCCTACGATGACGCATTTTCAGAATTCGGTCCCACTCCGAATTCATTATACAGTAATTTCAACATAAGCAATGGCCTCCGTATTCTTTGGAGAAAAATGTGAGACGGAAACAATAGAAAAAAGTATGCTATAACCTTGATATGCAGTGAAGTCCAGTCTGTCGTAAGAATAAAGGCTGGTTTGGTTTGCGTCTGATCCGGGGTTGGAACGCAAAATTAAGAAGCTTTATAATCATAATTATATTAAGAAGACTTACAATCGAACAGGATCAGAGTCAGAGTCACTTCACGACTGGCGGTTCACAGCCAACCAGTTCGTGTTGGCGACAAACCCCTTGAGACCCACGACTGGCATTTCAACTGGTGGTCGCCAGCGCAGTCATTCTCAGGTCCGAGTCTCGCGGGACTCAACCACATTTTTCTGTCCCAGGTTCTGAACTCCCCCAACCTGGAGGGCCAGGTCCCCGTATACCAGGAACAGAATTGCCCATTTATACCCCCAGGCACTGGGTTCCTTTTTCGTCGCCTTTTACGACTTGCAGGGCTAGGATAGAGGTATTCGACCCCGCTTTCACACTGGGTACAATCGAGCAACTTTTAATATGCACGTATTAAAATATCTTAATCTGATTAGTACGATGATTGTAGTCGAGGCAGCGCTCAGGTACTGTATTGGGTGCTGGAGCGTTGTCGTGACACTTCATGTGAAGGCTGTGATGCCAAATGCAAGCACATTTAATAAAAACGAATACACCGAAAGTACTGTTCCTGTTGTTTACTTTAAAAGGAATAATTTCACTGAATATAATATTATCTTCACGAAAATACTTGAAATGATAGTTCTAAGGAATTAAAGATTTTACGTACAATGAATATATATAAGAACATAGAACCTGCTTAATTTTTTGACCTCTTTGTTTGATGAGGAAACGTCAAATCCTTCGATTTTCGTGATTTACAATTCTGCGTTTGGAAGTCAAAGCTATCATTATGTGAACGATGAGAACATAGGGAGAAAATCAGAAGAATGTAAGAAATTGGAAATTAAAATAAATTATGAAAAGGCGGAATATTTCGGTACAGGATTGGGCTTGGTAATTGCGTTTGTGGTTTCGTTGCCGCGGAAACATGTTTACCGGCATTTCATTCTTAGGTCAGAGTCCCACAGGACTCACGAAATATTACTGTCTCAGAATCGAGAGTCCCCCTGTCTGGAAGGCCAGGTCCCCGTATTTACACCCCTCAGGAACAGGGTGGCCCGGTTATACACTCAGGCACTGGGTTCCCTCTTCGTTGCCTTCCACAGAGTTAAGGTGGACGTATTCGAACCTTCCTCCACACGAGCGAGTATTGGTATTAATGTGAAAAGTCGTCTGTGAAAGTAGCTGTATTTTTAAGACGTTGCTGAAAACATTTTAACTTTTCATAGATTGATCTAGAACAACTTAAAATCCCTTTGTTCTCCTTCAACCAATAGCATTCGTCTAGCATTACTTCTTTGCGACATTTATGACGTCATTTCGCAAACTGCAATGTCATCTTCCGTCGTTGTCAGGAACACCAACATTATACAGTGAATTGTGTAGCGCTGAGACGCCTTAATTGTAGGGAATTTCACTGTACATGAATGCTTCTACTGAGATCATAAGAATGAACCAATGGAATAGTACGAATCGTTGACCAATCAAAACCATCTTCCCCAACTATAGAAAGGGTGTTTGGGACCTGCTTTGTAACAGTTGGAAGTGTTATTTCGTTGAGAAACTGAATTGGAAGAAGAAGAAGTTGTGTTACATAGGTGAGTATGAGTTTGAAATGAGATTTTAATTTATACCTGGGTATTTCATTTTAGGTGAAATGATGTTTTATTTGGTGTAATTTAGGTAATGTGTTAGAAGTTCCGGATATGCTTATGTAAGACGTTTGGGAATCGCATTTGAGGTCTGTTGCGTTGGTGAATTTAGAAATTTGTCGGAGACGAGTTTTCTTTTGGTCTAATTTAAATGTAGTGTATGAAATGTATATGCAAAAATGATAATACGACGTTACATTACGTCCATCGTTGAGCAACGACTACGATGGGAAAAAACACTTCCGCGACAAGGAATACATGGAAATTGTCAGTTGTCTAGTACCCACAGCGACAAGTCGAATACCAACAGACCGTTGCATAGGAAGCGCCGAAACAACAAACGCGTTTCCCCAGAGGTTAAAGGATAATGGGTTCGTTGGATGACAACTGCAAAACCGAACTTCCAGGTAAGCCTTCTCAACAGTTCGGTTTTGCAGTTATCCAACGAACCTGTTGTCCTTTCTCCGAGGAAACGCCATTGTTTTTTCGGCGCTTCCTATGCAACGGTCTGTTGCTATTCTACTTGTTGTGGGAACTCGACAATTTCCATGTATTCGTTTTCGCGAAAGTGTTGTTCCCATAGTAGCCGTTGCTCAGCGAGGGACGTAATATAACACGTCATACTGTATTTTGCATATATATTACGTTTCATAGAGACCATATTTAAATTAGACCAAGACTTGGACCTGGACAGACGTGTTAAGTTGAAACGAGGAAAGCTTTAGTCGTCTCGAGGTGAGAAGTAAGACGACGCCGAGATTGACGTTGCAAGTACGAATTACGGTACGGAAAGTGTGAAAGTGGGCGATCAATAAACGTATTTGTTCCAATCCGAAGACCCACGCTATTTATTCGTGTTGCGCCACAAAGACGACACATTTCAATATATATGGCGTTTGGGAATTGCATTTGAGGTGTTTTATTGCGTTAGTGTATTCTAGACATTTCCTTTATTCGCGCGAAGTTGTGATGTGGCGTTAAGCGTCGCCTATTAGGCACTTATGTACAAGTTCAGAGAGGTTTGTCCGTTTTCATATTAGGGCCGCTGCGTACGTTGTAATTTTCACGGCATGTTTCTTTTGTAAAATATGTTCCTTAGTAAATTCTCGGCTCGTTTCTATCCTAAGTTTGTAGAGTTCTTTGTTAGAATGGCGGTGGTATCTACGCCATTTTGAGTTTCCTGAACGATCAGTCATCCCAGCCATTGGCCATATTTTGTAATTATGGTTACTTTCTACAGCAGCATTACTCAGCTTTGTGTCCATTTACCATGAAGTTTAGGCTACCTTGCGCCATAAAAATATGTAAGTAGGATATATCGTGTTGCAGAACTATTTAGAGTTCATTCTACGCAAATATGACGATAAACTACAGCAGTTCCCCCCCCCCCCCGCCGCACATTTTTTGTTTTTTTTTGCGAGACGCGCTGTTTACANTATTTCTATTTTGTAGTGGAAGTCGTATTAATGCAACATTGGTATATACAAGACATAAATTAACGTACTAAGTTGTTAAATAGTGATAGTTATTGTCAAGGAAGGAGAATGGCAAAGGATTGAAAAGTGTTCGATGACGTCATGAAGGTAAAAATAATTGCTTATTGAGGAAATTTGGCGAAAGGTGTGGAGACAGAAATGTTCACGTCGGACCGAATCAGTCGAAATTGTTAATGTTTCGGAATAGATAACGTTTCTAGACTTTGCCATTCTCGGTATACCTTAAATTTGTAATTATTTGTAAATGAATATTATTATGATCTTAATATGTATTTTGGAAGTGGTTTGTGTAATTTGTGTGTATACATATTTTGTAATTTAATTATTTTGAAATATACTGTGTAATTGTTCAGGAATTGTCGATAGCAGTGTTGGGAATGTGGTTGAATTTGTTTATGGGAAAAGATCTGTACTTGAATTTGCATATGCAGGTATTCTCTGAATGTTTTGTACTTAGGCTTGTTTGACATCTTACTGAGTCTGTGGGTTGTAACTTTCATCATACAAATTGTTAGGTTTGATGTGCAGTAATTTGGTAAGAGTGTAATGGAAGAGTTTATGTTTGTAGGGATTCTAATTTTGTATTTTTATGTGGAAAATAATGTTCCTTATGATGGGGAGCATCATGCAAAGAGGCTGAAAGTCTGGTGACATTTTGGGTGCAGGAGTGCTCAAGGCTTGCTGTGTGCCTTGTCAGCTGTGTACACATGAGCTATATGTAATTATCACACATTCAAGCTCCATCCATTTCAATGTCTAAGGGAACAGTGGGTCCTCTTACACTAGATGTCATCAGATGCATACACATGAACTTTGAGCTGTGTGTAATTGTGACATGTTTAAACTCTGCTGCCTAAGGGAACACTTCACACGTGTGTGTGGAATTACTATAAGGCCTCTTGCTTATTCTGCATTGTATCACTGGTGCTAACAAGTCTGTATGTCTACTGTATACTGGCCTTAGTGAAGTGAAGATCTCGTAATTTAAGGGACATAGATTTCTTATTTATAACACCAGGCTCCTCATCCCAAAAAAGAAAAGAGTAAGCTGAAACTCTTGGGTATGTTTTTATAGATCCATCATGCAGATTTTTGTGAAAACACTGACAGGGAAGACCATTACTCTCGAAGTGGAAGCTTCAGACACAATTGAAAATGTAAAAGCAAAGATCCAGGATAAAGAGGGTATTCCTCCAGACCAACAGAGACTGATTTTTGCAGGAAAGCAGTTGGAAGATGGCAGGACTCTGTCTGATTACAACATTCAGAAAGGTAGGGCCTTAGTTTGAATTAAATGCTCTTAATACAGGATATGTTCATTTTCATGGCTTTAAGAGTGCTTTAAAGGAAATCACTTTATTGCTACAAAGAATTTCTAAATTAAGATTTCTTCAGTAATGTTTGTTAGCCATTTACTGCAGGGTCATAGCATAGGCACTGGGAATTTGACAGATGAATAAGATTCATGTTAGCTTTCGTGGAGAGAGTTTAGCATAATGTTTTAAATGAAATTGTAGTTTTGAAGTGTATTCAAATAGTAACTACCTGTAGCACTGGCTACAATTAGGAAGCCTGTAATCTGATTACATGGTATACAGAAGAAAGAAAATATAGGCACTATGCCCAGTTTATTTAGTTCGGTTTTTTTTAATATATAATCTGTTAAGTGTAGTGGATAGGTGATTTGTGGATTCTTTGCCGAATTTATATAGTTCCGTGTTATATTTGTATAATTACTGTAAATTTTTTAAATTATGTTTTATTTCATAGTTGTAAAAATGCAGGCTGTTCCATGTTATAAAGTAGTGCATTCTCCATTATCTTAATGGTTTATCAAGTGCACCCCACAGTTTGTGTTAAGCATTTTTTCAGCGTGGAGGAGTGTCATCCGTTCTCATTGTGTGCTTGTCTACAGGAAAGAACTTGAGAAACCTGCCCAGACTTTCACATATGTTACTGAAGAATATAATTGAAAGTTGTATTAATTATAAATTAGATGGGACAGTTCTGGCATTCACCTATTTGTGAAGGCCAAAAATTTCTGAGCATATGTTGGGTGTCACATGCTAAATATTTATTGGGGCGAGAAATGTTTGCAAGTTACAGAGGAAAATGAAACTGTGATGAGTACACAGTTTCCAGAAGCTTTCTATATTTTTTGAATTCCTACATTCTCCACTGTGATTATCCAGTTTTGTCCAAAGATTATCATTGGATTGCCCTTGTTTGTCAGTTATGCATCTCTTCATTGGTGTTCATAATTCAAAGTATACTGTTGTTTCCATGTATCTCCTACATTGAATATAAATGTCTACCTTTCATTGAAAAATTTTATTAGCCATTACATTAGCATAAAAGCTTTGGTCATGCAGCCTAAGGTCATCATGAGAGTTGTATGTTAAGTGATATTCAAGATGGTTGTGGTTGAACAGGGAATAGAGCATTGTATTCTTCATTATGAAAACTTCATTTGACGATAAGGTAGAAGGTAAAGGTATCACAGTAACAGTCCATAGGGTTGTGAGATATTGATCCTCCCACGTTTTCTAGACATTCTGCACACAAATCGTGAGATTGTTAGCCTTAACCTGCTGACTTGTATTTACCTCGAGGAATGGTCTTGGTGCTTGTTTCTTTTGGAGTCTGGGTCGATCCCAGGGTCATAGCATGGCTAGAAGAATTAGGTCAATTGGAAAAAGCAGTGACCTTACCAGGATCGAATTCATGACCTTCTAGCTTGTAGTGTAGTGCCACAACCAACTGCACTACTGCAGGCCCCATTTTCATTTGATAAAAACTGCATTTTTGGCTATCTGCAGTAATAGTTATACAAATGAGAACGGAACACATGTTCACCATATGGTCTGAAAAACAAAAGGTGCTACAGTAACAATTACCCTCTTCCCATAGTTACAGTAAGGAATTTCTTTACAGAATCAACACTTCATCTTGTGCTGAGACTGAGGGGAGGAATGCAGATCTTTGTCAAAACACTGACAGGGAAAACCATTACCCTGGAAGTGGAGGCATCTGATACTATTGAGAATGTAAAGGCTAAGATCCAAGATAAGGAAGGCATCCCACCAGATCAGCAGCGATTGATCTTTGCTGGCAAGCAGCTGGAAGATGGCCGAACGCTGTCCGACTACAACATTCAGAAGGAATCCACTCTTCATCTTGTTCTCAGGCTCAGAGGAGGAATGCAGATCTTTGTCAAAACACTGACAGGGAAAACCATTACCCTAGAAGTGGAGGCATCAGACACTATTGAGAATGTAAAGGCAAAAATCCAGGACAAAGAAGGAATTCCTCCAGACCAGCAGCGTTTGATTTTTGCTGGCAAGCAGCTGGAAGATGGCCGAACGCTGTCCGACTACAACATTCAGAAGGAATCCACTCTTCATCTTGTTCTCAGGCTCAGAGGAGGAATGCAGATCTTTGTCAAAACACTGACAGGGAAAACCATTACCCTAGAAGTGGAGGCGTCTGATACTATTGAGAATGTAAAGGCTAAAATCCAAGATAAGGAAGGCATCCCACCAGATCAGCAGCGATTGATCTTTGCTGGCAAGCAGCTGGAAGATGGCCGAACGCTGTCCGACTACAACATTCAGAAGGAATCCACTCTTCATCTTGTTCTCAGGCTCAGAGGAGGAATGCAGATCTTTGTCAAAACACTGACAGGGAAAACCATTACCCTCGAAGTGGAGGCATCAGACACAATTGAAAATGTGAAGGCAAAAATCCAGGACAAAGAAGGCATTCCACCAGATCAACAGAGACTGATCTTTGCTGGCAAGCAGCTGGAAGATGGACGAACTTTGTCAGACTACAATATCCAGAAAGGTATGTTTCCGATTACTCCCATACATTAGTATGACATTTTGGCATTGTTCAAATGAAATCACTGATTCTGTGACATTAATGTAGACAGTGAAATTTTAACCGCGGCATAGAAGTACTTTGTGACATTCAGCGTGATGACTTAGCGACTTAAATGAGCTTTTAGTTGAATTGTGTTCCAGTAACTTAACAGTGGTGGCTAATCAGTAATAACTTGTTATGGCAAAGTGAAATGGTGGGATATTCCTGTTTTACGTAATGGTTTATATCATTCATATATGTAGTACTAAGAGAGCACCAGTGGTTTTTGTTTGGTAGAATATAATTCACTCTACCTGATCTGTACATGCTCTTGCAGTTTCACTGTATTTCGTTCTGCCTTCCATCTGCTTTGAAGTAACCCTGTTTTTGACATGTTTAATAACATATACTTAACAATTTTTGTTTTAGAATCTACTCTTCATCTAGTTCTGAGGCTTCGAGGAGGCATGCAGATATTTGTAAAGACACCGACTTGCAAAACCATTGCTCTTGAAGTGGAAGCTTCAGACACAATAGAGAATGTGAAGGCAAAAATTGAAGACAAAGAAGGAATTCCTCCAGACCAGCAGAGGTTGATATTTGCTGGCAAGCAGCTGGAGGATGGACGTACATTATCAGATTACAACATCCAGAAAGAGTCAACACTCCACCTTGTATTTCGTCTTCGTGGGGGACAGCTGTAGAGTTCTTCAGTCCTCTCAGTTCCTGTATTTCAGTTTTTGTGAATGAGAAGCATTTGTTTTCACATTGGTTTCAATTTTTCCTTTAAGGTTTATTTCCAAAAATACTTAAATATGACATGTAATTTTAAAAGGTGTTTTAGTAATTTTTCTACTGATGTAGTGGGTAATTGAAATAAAGGACATTGCATTATAGTTAATTGCACTCTGACACTGTATTCATTCTTGGCCTGGTAATTTGCCTAAAATTTGTTATGGTTTATGTGATCCCTTTTTTCCCTTTGTGTGGTAACTGAAACTGGAAGCTTTTGGACATGCCTACGTGACTCAGGACATGAAAAAAGACCAGTCCTCAGAATGTCTGTGATAAACCTTTTACAATCGAGAGTCCCTGATAGGTGTGGAAGACAGGCTTCAGACTGATAGTAAAGGGGCTGAAGTGGTACAGAGATGGTTCCAAGTCACAAAAGCACTGGAGCTGGGTTATACAGCCAGGGTGCAACGTGAAAACTAAGTTTAAGCCTTGGACAGTACACAAATATTCCTAGCAGAAGTGCATTCCATTAAAGCATGCACTGTTGAGAATGTAGGTAGGAGCTATAAAAACTGAAATTTCTATATTCCATCTCAGTGAAACTGCATTTAAAGCACTTAGCAAATACCAGGTTACTGGTACTGCCATTTATCACTTAACACAAAAGGCTTTACATAAATTTCAAGGCAAGATTGATGGGTCATGAGGGTATTGCCAGTAATGAAACAGCAAACAGATTGGGAAGGATGGGACCTGAACAGCTTGTGGCATCTCTGTAGATGTTTCCAAGAATGTGAGAGACTGGACAGACAAAAAAAATATTCTGAATCCTTAACTGGACTCAAAGCAGCCAAGAGGAGTTATACAAAGACCTTTACCACAAGAATGAAGCAGGTGTTAAAATTAAACAACCTATGATGGATGGTAGGACTATTTACAGGCCACTTCTGACAAAAAGTATCTATTCAAACAGGGATTGACAGATAACCCAATTTGCGAAAGGTACCAAGAAAGAGAGTAATCAGCCACACCTGTGTGATTGTGGGGATGTACCATAATTAAGTCATTTGGGCCAATTTTTTATGGAACCAAGTTGCTACTGTGGTGCCCCTATACACAGTCTTTCATTTCATTAGAAGTGTAGGATTGATACAGGGGTAACTAGAAAGGGAAGCCCAATAGATCATTGAAGGTCACAGTGCAAGGGCCAGATAATTGTGGTCCACCTGTTATCCATTAATTCATTTGTTGATTCCCATAATGAAGCACCTGTGGATTGCAGGGTTTATAGTTTGAGCCAGTGGGTTTGAGGATATGGGAGTGACTAAAGGGTGCTATTGTGTGGTTTGTGATGCATAGCTCAGGAGGAGTCTATAGTTTCATTGCTTAGCATGGGTCTTGACCCTGAAGATTTAGGCAGTATGTTCCCCCAATGAAATTTCAGTTGATTCTTGTGCCCTGTAATTAGGGCCTGATGTATATTACTGTAATTTAGAAAGGTTGATAGAGAGATGTGTGGTGGAAGCAAAGAATGACATTGTTTTGAAATGTGTTTTAATTATGCAGAATTCAAAATATATGAGGGAAGAATCCTAATTGACAGTGGAACTGCTGTGCTTAGAATACTTCACCTAATTTTGTAGATCCCAGCAATAAATAGTGGTAAACTATGTGCTTATACACATGTACTGCAGTCCTAATTTGCAGAGCGAACTGCATACACAGGTTGCCCAAGTTCTGGTTTCATTCCAACTTGTTCCATAGATTAATGAGAATATGGAATTCCAATTTGGATGTTTGCCAGTCACGGTAGCCAAGCGGTCTAAGGCATGCACTATCTTCGCTCGTTCGGAAGCCGGGATTGTGGGTTCGGATCCTACTCAGGGCATGGATGTTTGTGTGCGTTTTTCTGTGTTTTTGTACAGGTAGAGACTTTGCGACGAGCTGATCACTCGCCCAGGGAGTCCTACCATATGTGTAAGATTTAGAAAAACCGAAGTGAACGGAGTTCATGGAGGTAGGCCTAGGCACACTGGGCCTGTAGTGCCAAGGAAAAAAGAATGGATGTTCACACTAAAATGGATTAGAACTGGAGACTTCTGTTAGCAAGATCATTATATTTTGTACAAGGGTGAGTCAAATGAAAACCTTAAATTTGTAATCATCATCATCAGTAATCTGTCAGACGACAGGTCCACAGTCTCTTCCAAAACACTTCCTCCACTTAATGCGATCTTGAGCTTTCTCCTTCAAATGATAGTATTCTCTTCTGTCCCCAAGGTCATCCAGCATCTCCTTACGTCTTCTTCCTCGTCTTCTTGTCACTTCTATCCGCCCCTCTATCTTTCCTTCAATAACTTCTTTTAGAAGGCAGTTTGTGCGTAAAACATGACCAATCCAATTAGCCTTCCGTTTTCTTATTTCATGTAGGATATTCCTCTGCTCACTGACTCTAATTAACACTTCTTCATTTCTCACATAATCGGTCCAACTGATCTTCTCCATCCTTCTCCAACACCACATTTCGAAACTTTCCAGATGTTTCTGATCTACTGCCCTAAGTGTCCATGTTTCAGCCCCATACAAAGCTATGCCCCAAATGTAGCATTTCACTAGTTTTCCTCAAATTCAAGTACAGTTTGCTGGTAAAAAGATTCTTCTTCTTGCTAAATGCAGCTTTTGCCATGACAATCCTGGATTTAATTTCACTAGTACACCTTCCATCATCCGTTAACAAGCTACCCAAATATTTAAAACATTTCACATTCTCCAGTTGTTTTTGGTCTATCTTTATTGTGACTGGGGTTGGTTGTCTCGAAATTTTAATTACTTTTGTTTTCTCCACATTCATTTCCATGCCATAAAATTTGTAATAAAAAAAATCGAAATTTTGCGCCATTATCCTGTAAGTTGGTGAGCGTGCTACAAACAGCGTGCAGAATGCCTGTAGGTTGCAGCATAGTGCAGATGCACAAATACCGTCAGAGCACCAGTATAAGATGACTGCCCCACTTGAGACTTGCACCAGGGAAGAACAGCATTCTCTTATTTGGTTTTTGTGTAGTGAAGGTGTGAAACTTGTTGAAATTTATCGAAGAATGAAGTTTCAGTATAGTGATGCATGTTTGTCACAGCAGCAAGTGTAGGAATGGAGTAGGAAGTTTGCAAATGGTGTGACTTAAGTGGAAGATGCTCCTCATCCGGGTCAGGCATATCGAGTCGTGACTACAGAGAACACTGCAGCAGTTGAAGCCATAGTGAGGGAAAACCGCCGAGTGACATTAAATGAAATTGCAGCAAGTTTAAACATTAGTCATGGTTCCGCACACCACATTCTGCACGATGTGCTCCAGTTTCACAAAGTGTCTGCAAGATGGGTGCCACGGCAGCTGACTCCTGAATTGAAAGACCGATGTATTGATGCTTGTGAAGAACTTCTGCGGCCCTCTGAACGAGAAGTGATGACTTCCTTGCAAGAATCGTTACTGGGGACGAAACCTGGGTTCACTTCCACCAACCGGAAATGAAGAGAGCGAGCAAGGAATGACGCCATTCCTCATCTCCAAAACCGAAGAAGTTTCGAACACAACCATCAGCAGGGAAGGTTATGCTGACTCTCTTTTGGGATGAAAAAGGCGTCATCTGGAGCACGACACGCCTAGAGGGACCACTGTCACCAGTGCATCATACTCAGATCTCCTAAAAAATCATCCTCAGCCTGCAATCATAGCGATGTGGATTGCTGTCCACAGGTATCCTTTTGCAACATGACAATGCAAGGCCCCATACTGCCCGTACAACAGTTGCGACAATCAATGACCTGCATTTTGAGTGTCTTCTTCATCCAGCATACTCACCAGACCCTGCCCCAAGTGATTTCCATATGTTTGGACCACTCAAAGAAGCAATGGGAGGAAAGACGTTCCGTTCTGATGAAGAGGTACGCCACGCGTTGCATGAGTTGTTGCGTGGACTACCAAAAGAATTTTTTTTTCTAAAGGAATTCATGCACTTTGTAAGCACTGGAGGACTTGCATTGAGCGTGGGGGAGATTATATTGAAAAGTGATACAGCTTTGTACCACTTGTGCACAATAAATAATACTCAAAAAAATATTTAAGGTTTTCATTTGACTCGCATACCTACATGCACTTTGTAAGCGCTGGAGGACTTGCATTGAGCGTGGGGGAGATTATATTGAAAAGTGATACAGCTTTGTACCACTTGTGCACAATAAATAATACTCAAAAAAATATTTAAGGTTTTCATTTGACTCGCCTACCTACATAGGTGATTGTTTTTTTTTTCCTTTTCACATGCCTGTTTTTAAGCCTTGTGGATTGACAGCCTTGTGACAGGTGAACTTGAGTGCACTACAAGACGGCCACTGTATATATATATAATGGATTATATACCTTATTAACATGTCTTCATATAGACGTAGACTGAGATGACAAGTGACTTTACCTGTAAAATGCTTTGGCCAAGGTAAAATAATTATGCTAGTGTGAAAGCCACAGATTATTATTATTTTTTTTCTGCAATTGGGTGTTCACCTAGTGGCAGTAGATTTTGCACTGATACAGGCAAGGAAAGAATATACATAAAGGGAACAATACAAACAAAGTTTATAACAATAAACAAGGTACACAGTGCAAATCCAAACATATAATATCACAAAGACAAAATAACTCCAAGTGTGACTATTTAAGTTTTTATCACTTGAAAACTTAGTACCCTTACATGTTTCGGTCCTTACAGACCATCTTCAGAGGAAACATCGATACTTATTTGGAAACAATTGCAATTGGTGTTCTAAGTGCTAAAATACATACACACACAATGCCTGGAATGCACAATATACATAATATCCTATTTTTTCTTTCACAATTACAGTTGCTTTCCTAGTATATTAAAACTTTTAAAGTTTTTAAAACTTTGTTGTTTAAGTTAAAATTTATAAATCAAGTAGGTTCATGTCCCTTCTCCTATTGTCTTTCTTGGTGGGGGCTGATCTTGTGCCGCCTGTCTGTCTTGAGAAGGAGATTCTTGGTATCGTCCTGTGTTTGTTCGTTTCTTGCTGTGTTTTCACACTGGACGGAGTTATTTTATCTTTGTAATTGTTAGTGTGATGGACCAGAATGAAACAAATCAAATTCATATAATGTCACACAAGG